CTGTGGAACTCTCTTCCTTCTCCTGTTTCCCTGAGAGTTATAATCTCCAGCTATTCAAGTGTAATGTCAATCGACATCTCCAGTTGCCTTAATCTATCTACTACCCTCATCCTTTCTTCTATCACTCCTATCTGATCTTCCTATTTTCTGTAACCCCTTGCGTCCTAGTGGCTCCCCGCCTTGCTTGGGGTGAAATGCTTAAAAAAAAAAATATATAAATACAGACGAAAGAAAAAAAGTTATAACTTTACCGTTTGTCTTTATTTATATGGCCCTTTTACAGATATATTTTAGTTCTATCTGAAATTATATATATATATCACACCACAAACTCGTTTTCACGACGCTTGTCTCTACATTTGAATGATAATTGTAACATTTTTAGGCATTAAAAACAACATGCCTGGCCGCATACACAATTCCGGAAAATCCTTGTTGAAAATACAACTATACTTAAACATGAAAACAATAAACAAAAACTAAAAATACTTGAAGCTATTTACATAAAACAGTTGAAACCTAACCTGAACAAAATAAACTATGAAAATTCCACAACTATACTTATATGCCTATAATTGATAACAGAAGCCAAACCAACGAGTTCCCATACTTAACACTTCTCGTTTTCACTCACGCGTGGTCATGTGTGATGCCATGGGCCGCGGTGCGATTTTCGCTTCCAGTGGCTCGTATGCACGAGTTTGTCGTTGCGTGGAAATCTTCCATGCAAACAAAACAGACTACCATTATTGCTATGTCCGTGTATTGTTTAATTTATTGTAATGTACTTGTCATCTCTGATGATGGCTTATGTAAGCCAAAGATTAAAAAAACATGTATCAATATGGTGATTTTCTTTCGTCTTTCAATGAAAATGTTATTAAGCTTATCAGATGATATGAAAGGAAGTTGCTTAAAATAAATAGACAAAACTTGTCTATATTATATAATGAAACATGCATTAATATATATATATATATATATATATATATATATATATATATATATATATATTATTGAACATTTACAGATTTCAGCACTCTTTTCTTTGTTTCTAACGAAATTTTTCTATTTATTAATACTTTGTTTAGCTTTTGTAAAACATTCCTTTCTGTTCCAATGCAGATTTCGGTGTCGTATTTTCCGACATCTGTAAAAATATTTCCCTAATAGTTCCATGTTCATCACCTTGGTTCTCACCTTCATTCTCAGCTGCTATAGCCCAAAGGAATCACTTCTTCCGGCTGCTACCGAGAGACACATCTGACTGCAACAAATATCTCTGCTCGTAACGAGTACAAGTGTATCCTCAAAGAAGCTATTGTTTATTGATAGAATGAAACAACGTATAGCAACTCACAAGTTTGATACTAGACATTATTGGCGGCTCTGCAACTGAACAACTGAAAATCCTCAATCCCTTCTCAATTAAATCAATTCAGTCATAGAGTAGACAAGGTTGAGTGCTTTGCTCTGAAATTCTATTCTAACTCAACGCTCGATTCCTTTAACCGCACATTTACCCACATTTGATTTCCGCAATAGGACTGAGATTCTACTGAGTGATAAGCGCATAGCCCGTAACTTGTCTCTAATTTCTAAATTAGATTCCCATAAGGCAAGCTGAGGTAACGGGACCCCAGCCATCATTCTAAAGAAATGTGCCCCTGAGCTGGCTCCAGTCCTTTACAGCTATTGCCGCGCTGCTTCTTGCTTTCCAGCTTTTGGAAGTCCTCCTCTGTAGTTCCTGACCCCCTCTAACTATTTCCCTATTAACCTCTTACCGCTTTTCGGCAAAGTATTCGAGGCTTTAATCAATGGTGAAGTGATTAAGCCTCTTACCTCTCACGACCTCCCCTCTGACAAATAATATGGCTTCCGTTTTGCCAGATCTACCGTTGATTTGCTAACGACCATCACTGAATATATATATCAAGCTCTTGATGATAACGAACTGTGGCTATTGATATCTGGAAGGCATTTGACGGGGTTTAGCACACTTGTCTTCGACGTAAGCTCCATGTCTATGTTATTACTGGACGACTGTTTGATTTAATGCAATCTTTCCTATCAAATTGTGAAATGAAGGTCATTTTGAATTGGCTCGCTTCCAGATCCTTTCATAAGAACGCAGTTTCCCCCTACCAAGGCTCTGTCATGGGTACTACGCTGTTTCTGATCTTCATCAATGATCTTCCTGGTGTCATCAATTCCCAAGTAGACATTTATGCTGATGACACTACCATTTACTCCTGTCTCAATAGAAAAATTGCTAGAGCCGACAAAGTTAACCAGGCCGCTGATCTTGAAAAGGACCTCCAACTTGTGGTTAATTGGGGCAGGAAATGGCTTTCAAATTTTAATGCCTCCAAAAAGGAAGCTACTTTCATTCAACCACCATCGAGAATCTTTCCTTCCCGCCATCAACATGGCTGATACTAAACTCATGGAAAGCAACACACTGCGGATTCTTGGCCTCACGTTTTCAGCTGAGCGATTACATCGAATCAATAGCTACATCTACTGAAAGGAAAGTTGGGTCACTGTGTCGTGCCAAAGGTTTTTTCTCTTCAAAGCCCATCTTGCATATTTACAAATATACCATTCCTCTGTGCATTGAACACTGTTGTCATATCTGGTCTGGTGCTCCTGCTATTCACCTCAGGGTTCTTAACAAAATCCAAAGAAGGATCTGCAATGTAATCAATCCTGAGTTGGCACCTTCAGTCATTTTCTCACTGGCATGACATGGCTACCCTCTTTCTTTTCTACAAATATTTTCATGGCAACTGCTCTGACAAGCTTTTTTCCTTAGTGTCCCAACTATGTGAATTTAAGTGTGCTACTAGATTGGCATCTAGGTCACACTCTTTTACTGTTGAAACAGTTAAATGTAACTGCCACTTCTACTCCAACAGTTTATTTTCTAGCACTTCCCTCCTATGAAATTCTCTTCCATTTCCCTGCTTCCATGATAAATACAATCTTCAAAAATTTAAATGCAACATCAATCATCATTTATCTTCTTGAAATCCGTTTATCGTTTATCCATTCCTCACTCCTCTTTATACCCAGGATTTGTCTCCTCCTTCATTCCCTGTAACCACCTGCCTACCAGTAGCATTCCTGTCTTGCTTGTGGTGAAATAATTTAAAAAAGTTAAATCACTGTACTTGATTTTGGCATCTCTAATTCGTAACTCGCATTTTGGTCTGTTCCTTTTGCTGACAACCATACATTTTGTCTTCTTACAATTGATAGTTAGCCCTTTCTTCTCGCTTTCTTTTACTTCCTCCAATTTGTAATTTACATTGTAATTGGTCTGTTCCTTTTGCTGACAACCATACATTCTGTCTTCTTACAATTGATAGTTAGTCCTTTCTTCTCGCTTTCTTTTACTCCCTCCAATTTCTAATTCACATTGTAATTGGTTTGCTCCTTTTGATTACAACCATACATTCTGTCTTCTTACAATTGATAGTTAGTCCTTTCTTCTCATTTTCCCTTACTGCCTCGTTACTGAAGTTTTCCATAATACCGGTGCTCCTTTGATCACTTACGTTAAGCAGTTTCGAGCCTGGCTAGAGGAATACCCGCTTGAATACACCGGGCACTGTATGCAACAAACCGCAATCTGAAATGTCGACTTTAAATAACTCACAAAGATAAACCGTAAAATTAAACAAATCTGTCAATCTTCTGTGTCCGCCATCAACGTGCGGTCATCTGTATAGCTTATATCCCTATGTGTCCCTCAAAAATAAACCCTGGTAGGACTTCAAATTCTGTTAGTATCCTCTCGTGTGTAAAAGTTCAATAAATGTGTACTATGACCATGGTGTCATCTGTTCCTCTTGCTAATGATCTTCCATTTTGTCTTTTTTTCCAGTTGATATTTAGTTGTTTTTTTTTTTCACTTTCCGTTACTACTCTGTCTTTTAGTCCCGTTTCTGCCCTCACCCTGGTGACATCTACGCATCTTATATTGTTAAGGGTATGCCCCTCTATAATAAATCCCGGAAGAACTTCTAGTTCTGTATAGTTAAAATAAATCTGGTGAGACGACGCAGCTCTGTCTAACCCATCTCTCTATTTATTGTGTACTTCCTCAATCCGTTCTACATCCGAATGTAGACTGTGTATTTCCTTTATAGGCTTAGTAAATAACAAAGTGACAATTACATTCTGCTTCTTGCAAAGAAATAGCTTCGCCAAAATGAACTTTGTATTCATTTCCTAGCACTTCTTGAAAAAACTTGTCTTTTACATGAGATTTTTACCTGAAGTCGACTTGTACACGAGTGTATACAGTATTTTCAAAGGGCCGCCCTCTGAAAAATAGACATAGAAAGTCCACCAAAAATCGAAAATAGTTCTGTCCTGTAAGAATTATTATCTCGAAAGACGTTAAGTTGGCAACGATCGCTTTTATTTTGTCTAATGTCTTCGCTCATTTCGATACAAAATAAACTCTTGTAGCCGTCATTCCATCAATATGGCATCGCAGAAGATAGAGAAATGGAAAAATATAGAAATTTGATTTATCAACCGGAAAGATAAATATCTTTGTTGAAAATGGGTAACGCTATACAAAAACAATAAAAATCATGAAAGGCAGAAAATGTGTGGGTTGATATCATAATAATAAGGATAATAATATTTCATTATCATTATTATTATTATTCTGCTGCTGCTTCTTTGTTTATCTATTCTGTCCCATTGGCTTACTCCGCCTTCTCCCTTTTTGCTTCCTCTTACTTCATCTTATTTTCGTTCTTCTTCTTCTTCTTCTTCTTCTTCTTCTTCTTCTTCTTCTTCTATTCTGTCCCATTGGCTTACTCCGCCTTCTCCCTTTTTGCTTCCTCTTACTTCATCTTGATGTCGTTCTTTTCTTCTTCTTCTTCTTCTTCTTCTTCTTCTTCTTCTTCTTCTTCTTCTTCTATTCTGTCCCATTGACTTACTCCGCCTTCTCCCTTTTTGCTTCCTCTTACTTCATCTTGATGTCGTTCTTTTTCTGTCTTCTTCTTCTTCTTCTTCTTCTTCTTCTTCTTCTTCTTCTTCTTCTTCTTCTTCTTCTTCTTCTATTCTGTCCCATTGGCATACTTCGCATTCTCCCTTTTTGCTTCCTCTTACTTCATCTTGTTTCCGTTCTTTTTTTGTCTTCTTCTTCTTCTTCTTCTTCTTCTTCTTCTTCTTCTTCTTCTTCTTCTTTATCTACTCTCTCCCTTTGCTTACTCCGCCTTCTTCCTTTTTGCTTCCTCTAACCTCACCTTGTTTCTGTTCTATCTGTTGCTTCTGATTTTTCTTCCTTTTCTTTTTTATCCTAGTCTTTCCATCTACGTTTTATTCTATTTTCTTCTTCTTCTTCTTCTTCTTCTTCTTCTTCTTCTTCTTTCAATTCTTTCTTTCTGGTTTCTTTTCCTCCTTCTTTTTAGCCCTTCCCTTCGACTCTCTTCTTTTCTTGCCATCTGGTTTCATCTTTCCGCAATTTTTCTGCTTCCTTTTCTTCTCATTTACAAACTTGACAGGAATTTCGGCCTGATGGAATTGTCACAAATGTCTTTACACGAGGAAAATAGAATTGAAGCATATTTTCAATATAGGTACATTCTTACGTAATCCTTTTTTCTATTACTCACTCCACCCCCACCCCTTATTTCTCCTCCTTCTTCTTTCCCTCTTTCTCTCTTTCACACACACATAACCATACACGTTTACTGCTCCTTATACTTCAACCCCCGTCTCTCTCTCTCTCTCTCTCTCTCTATCTATCTATCTATCTATCTATCTTTCAATGCTGTCTTCTCATTTCTTATCTATTTATAGGTTCGTTGACTAGTGTGTTGAAGGGGAAATTTTCTTTTATTGGGTCAAGATATATATTTATGTGATAGATTGCAGTGGAGATATTTTTGTGGTCGTCCGAGATTTTCGTTCGAAGAAAAAAATCGATTATTGATATTATTATGTTGTACAGTGACACGTTGTTCGCTGGGGACTTAGAAGTCCCACAGAAGGGAGTCGAGACACGTCTTGGTTGAAGAGAGGAGATAGGGTTAGTAAGTTTGCTTTTAATACTGCTTTATTCAACGGCACCCATCGGGCGTTAGGGGACGCCCCCCGCAGACAAGCTTTTGCTCTTTGATGCCCGTTTTGTCCTTTTACCGCTACTTTATCGTTCTCAACTTCTTTTCTCATTCGCTTTCTCCCTCACTTCTTTCTTGCTTTTTCTTTCCTTGACCTTCTCTTTCGCACTTCTACTTCCAGTTTCTTTCTCTCTATTGTGTTCTCTTTTTTTGTCGCTTTTTCTTTCTTTTAATTTCTCCGTCTTACATTCTTTTTTGTCTCACTCCCCTGCTTTCTTTTACTCTCCTCTTCTCTCGTTCTCTTTACCGTCTTTCCTCTCTTCTCACGTCACCATCGTTTTCCTCCTCTTGTGTTTCTTTCTTCTGCACAGATATCTTGCTTTCTCTCTCTCTCTCTCTCTCTCTCTCTCTCTCTCTCTCTCTCAGACATTCGCTCTTTCATTCAATTATGCTCACTCACTATCTCTCTCTTTCTGTCTCTCTCTCTCTTTCTCTCTCTCTCCTTCTCCCTCACAGGCATTCATTCTCTCATTCAATTGGACTCATTGTCTCTCGCTGTCTCTCTCTCTTTTCTCTCTCTCTCTCTTTCTTTCTGGCATTCACTCTCGCATACAACTGGCCTCACTCATTATCTCTCACTTTCTTTCTCTCCCTCTCTATCGCTCAAATATTCACTCTCTTATTCAATTGTGTTCACTCATTATCTTTCACTTTCTCTCTGTCTCTCTGTTTCTCACTCAGACATTCACTCTCTCATTCAATTATGCTCAATCTCTCTCTCTCTCTCTCTCTCTCTCTATCTCTATCTCTCTCTCTGAGACATTCAGTCTCACTCATTAACTCTTAAATTTACACATAGAAACAAGATTATGAATGATAGAAAGGAACTGATTGGGATAGATAGATAGATAGATAGATAGATAGATAGATAGATAGATAGATATGAAGAGACTGTGATAGATAGATAGATAGATAGATAGATAGATAGATAGATAGATAGAAAATGCGATGAGCAAATTGTCGTTATTTTATATTTTTAATTTCACGCATGCGCGTTGTTTGCTTTTGATTTTGTTGACCGCACAGTATAGTAAGGTCAGTTGGGCAACGTCTGTGAGAAAAAGGGCACCATGACGCAATTCACTCCGCCAGAAATTTGGAAACAGCATGCTGTACTGCTTGGCATTCGCGCCGAAAACTTCAATACAAACATTTCAGATTGTTTGGGTGTCAATCTGAAGAGAGCGCTGCGGATTTAGAAAGAGTTGCATGATATATCCAGTCAACATCATGGTGTTTCGAGTGATCACTAGTGATGGCGAAGTTATGCCTCCATTGATCTTCCCACAGGGCCTCAGACTCAATACAGAGGCCTACATCAAGTGCCTTGAGAAGGTAGTGCTGTCCTGGGTCAAGATGGAAGACACTATGTCTGACAACAGGACTCTACACCATACCACACAAGCAGGAGAACCCTCAGACAATTCCACCTAACTCCCCAGACTGCAACCCTCTTGATCATTATGTGTGGGTGATATTTAGTGGGAGACCAACAAAACTCCTTGTAACACCAAAGATAACCTGAAGGCAGGGATTATGGCAGCATTGACCAACTTAAACAAGGAGACCGTCCAGAAGAGATGCAGGAGACTCCGAAGTTGTCTGGAGGCCGTGGTTAAAGTCAATGGCGATTTTATTGAATAAATTTACTCTTTAATATTTCAAGATATTTTTTGTGTACTTTTTGTAAATATATGTGTCGGTGTTATTTTCAGGTTTTGCATAATTTAGACGACAATTTATCCATCGCACCCAGTAGATAGGTCGGAAAAAGATTGTATAGAAAAATAGAAAAGAACAGATTGAGCTAGCTAGCTAGCTAGATAGATAGATAGATAGATAGATAGATAGATAGATATGAACAAAATAGGATAGATAGATAGATAGATAGAGATAGATAGATAGATAGATAGATAGATCCGGTAATATGAAGTATATACCAATAAATATACGCTAGCTATTGAGAATAAAACTCACTTAGCGATCTTAATGTCATGCTTGACCAATTTGATAAGCATTATTCGCTTTATTTTCCTTTACTTTCTTTTCTTTTTCTCTTCGTTTTTCTTACACTTTCTCTTTTCTTCGTTTTCTTTTTGTTTTCTTTCCACTTCTCTGTATTGTTCGTATATTATTTCTCTTTGTTTTCTTTTTCTTTCAGATGTTTTTAAATTCCTTTCTCCCTTCTCCCTCAATTTCTCTCTCTCTCTCTCTCTCTCTTTCCCTCTATCTGTAGTGTTGTCTTTCTTCCGCTATTTATCGCTCTTTGTCCCTTTTCCTTTTCTCATCTCGAATTCAGACAAGTCCTATCACATTATGCATTTCACGTGTTACCGAAAATAATTTGTCCTTACACTACATTTGATATCGGCTTCGTAATATCGATATCAGAACGATATTTTAAAAGCAGGGATGTCGTGGGAGATTACAATTAGCTTGACTTTAAAGATAATATTTATGGTGGCTGACTGATTTCATGACATGTCAGCCTTTTTGGTGTCGGGATTCAGAAAGCAATTATATCCCTTTTGACTGGAAGAATTTACCGGGGTCTTAAGGGGTGCTTAAAGATCATGTGATAGCCCGTTGGTGTAATTAGCCAGTTGCCTCTTGACTTCCCACGTCTGATGTGTTCTAAAGAGAAACAGAAGATATACCACAAGGCTGCACCGTGCCCCTCTTGGTAATATAACAAGATCTTTTTACTTGTTCCCTTCTCATACTGTTATATTTTTTATATGCATGCTTTAATGTCTCTGTGCAGGGCTATTTGTGACTGATATATATATATATATGACATAACATTCATCGAGTGATTAATGGGTTAATGCATTTTTAAAATTTTGTTTGCGTAGGGATTTTGCCGTTTTATATCGTTAACTTTACTATTCCATTTTTTATATGAATGATTCATTGTAGTATATATATATATATATATATATATATATATATATATATACACACACACACATATATATATATATATATATATATATATATATATATATATATATATATATATATATATATATATTATATATATATATATATATATATATATATATATAAATATTATGTATATATATATATATATATATGAATATTTATATAAAAATGAATGTATATATATATATATAAAATGAATCATTTATATAAAAAAATTTTTAAAATAAATTAACCCACTAATCACTGATGAATGTTATGATCTTTTTGTTTTAAAAATTATAAGCTGTATAAGATCTTTCTTTTTCTTTTTTTTAAAATGTGTTATTGTTAACGGATACAAACTTTTGGAGCGTTCAGATAACAATAACACATTTAACAACAACACATTTAAAAAAAAACATATTTCGATTCGCATTTAATTTTTTCGTCTCGGATGCTACCTGAATTTTACCAGAAACAAAATAATTTCCATGCCTGAAGATGACTGAATGTACAGTTGAAAGTACTTGCGTATTAAAGAAAGACTTTATACGGCTTATAATTTTAAAAACAAGGATCATAACATTCATCGAGTGATTTGTAGTTTAATGCACCTTTAAAGTTTTGTTTGCGAAGGGATTTCGCCATTTTAATATCATTAATTTTACTAATCTACTTTTTGTATGAATAATTCATTGTAATATAAATTGAACTGTACCATATATTTTATATATATATATATATATATATATATATATATATATATATTGTACTCATAATTTCTGTTTGAATTTCTGGGATGAGTAATTATCATTATTGACATTATTTACATTCGGATTATTGTCCTCATCTTTGTCGTTATTATCGCAGCGTTTCGGCTTTTGTGTCCTCTGGCTTGTTTTGTTGTCCATGTCTCGGGATATCTCGCGTTACTCATATCTTATACTCATCAGTTATTGTCCTCTCTATTTCAACAGTGTATAAGAAGACTACACTGTTCTTCCGGGTAGTTAAACTCACAAATACGATATCACCTAATTTGCGACACTTGCTGTTATTTCTATTTCTATTTCTTATTTATTGATGGTGCCCATATTTTATGCATTGCTATGCTAGGCCTACTAATGAAATCCACTTAGCCTAGCATATGCGCTTATTCCTTCAAAGCACCAGGATTCTCCTGTCTATTACATTTACTTCATTCTACGGAGGTTGGTGACTACCCTTTCCCTCAATACATGATCAGCCATGCCTGATTTCATGTTCTCACCTCTAATTACGGCTTTTCGATATTCTTCCAGCCTTACTATTAGGGGGCTGCCGGTTCACAACTGCGTGAGACAAGTTGCAGATAAGGCAAGCGAAACGAGAATATTATACCGCATAGACTAAATAAGAGGCTTGGTTCGAAATTCCTTGAAGTTTAAGAAGATAAATGAAAAAGCATTGGGATAAATACAAATAAGATGTTTTCATGTTTAACTTATTCCTGACGTTCACCTATTTGATTTATTCTAGTCCACCCTAGGTCTTCTTGAGGTGTTATTATATCACAGATGTATTAATGCCTATTGTGGACCTTGGAGATTAAAGAAAACCAAGATATTTCCTCTCTTTTTCCAAGCGCCATATTACAAAATATGTCGAATTTTTATAGGCATCCACTGAGAAACACCTTCAAACACACACACTTAGATAGACAGGGTGTCCATAAAGTTCGTGTGCACTTTAAAAAATTTATAACTTTATTTGTATTTGCGATAGAAATAATCTGTAAAATATGTTATAAAGTTTAATGTACCTAGTTTTAAGTATACCTAAAATAACTGAATGTCCGAGAAAAGAGCGTTCGGTAGGCAGTAATTAAATGTCATTTAATACTGTTTATTATAAACAGAGCATTTACTTAAATACTTGTATCTATAAAAAGAATGTTAAACATAAAAATGTCTTTAATAAATTGTCGGACTTTGTCCAATTCTTAATGTATGACGTCATTTGTTTACATTTGATGCGCCATGAGCAGTTATGAATGTACGAGATTCATGGAAGATTGAAGTTTATAAGCAGTAAATTCGACCTTGCCTACCGAACGCTCCTTTGTGGCCGAGTCGGTTAAGGCACGTCAGCGTAAATGACGGTTGCAGGTTCGAATCCTGGACGAATATTTTCTATGAAAATTTCTCGGATATTCTGGCCGGTAAATGTGATTTAATACTGTTTATTATAAACAGTGCATTACTTAAATACTTGTATCTATAAAAAAAAGAATGTTAAACATATATATATATATATATATATATATATATAAAAAAAATAATTAAGCAATTCATCGAGTCTAGAAGAAACCTCAACAGAATGCAGAAAGCACTGGACGACCATATTTGGGACTCATCAGCAGAGTGCATCCACTACCGAGAATTGAAACCCAGACCGTTACGATATGAGGCAAAAGTCATACCAACTGTACCAACGGTGACGAAGAGGCAACGTATTAGACTCGATATAGCGTTGCTCGTTCACATATTTCGTGGTGCAACTCATCCAAGTTTCCCTTACCCATAGGACTCTGCCAGTAAAAGCCACGACTACTATCCTCAAGTCGCTCCATCCAGAGCATTAGAAACCGGTTCAAGCAAGGATATACAATTACGGAGGATTTGAGATAATCATAATTAAATAATTCATCGAGTCTAACAGAAACAATAACAGAATGCAAAAAGCACTGGAGGGCCGTTTTGTCCTATTTTATATCGGTAAAAGCACGTCAGGCTATATCCGTATAGGATTCAAGTTCGATTCCTGTCGGAGGACGGATATTTTCTATGACAAT